AGGAATTTGGCTGTCTCACCCAGAAGCTCTCCTTAACTGGAGACATTCATTATTTCTTTCATCTTCCTATCTACTCTTCAGCACATGCTTATTGTATGTGTGCTTGAGGACGAGATAGCTAAGGCTCCCACCCTGGATGACAAGGCTGATAATTAATCACATGGACCATCGCTTCTAATTGTGATGAGCACTGGGAAGGACACGGGTGGCCGCCAGGATAGTATGTTTCAGGGGACATGTTTCCTAGTTAGTTTCATAGTTAGTGTTTCTTGGGTGCTGGTGGTGTGCCAGGCCGTGTGCCACATCATTTATGGTGATTTAATGCTTTCAACAACCCTATGAGGTGTAGGGGCTGTTTTGCAGAGTGGGGAGCTGATGTGTGCAGGGGAACCTGCCCAACATGAACTACCTACTAAGGAATGGAGCCAGGATTCTGTCCGTGGGTCTGTCTGCCCCCAGAGCCACACGGCTAGTACCGGGCAGGACTTGGGAGGCTTTCCAGAACACTTGCTACTGTGGGGCTGGACTCCTGTTTGTACCATGAGATTGTTACACTAGCGGTTCTGAGTGGTTTGGGGTCAAGGGCCCCTGTGAGAAACCTCACAAAGCTGCGTCTGTTTTTCTCAGAATAATGCACACACATGCTTACTTTTGCCCAACTCATAGGGATCCATTTCTCCTGGCTTGTCTGCTGATTTAGAATAAGTCGCTTGGCATTTGGTGATTCTTGAGATCTTCCTCTATCTGATTTAGGCAGCAGGAAAGCAACGGTAACAAAAACAAGTGTTAGAAACAGGATTGCTTGTGCAGAGCCGTTCATTCCCACATGGGGAGATTAAGCCACAGCGAGAGAGGGGGATGGCTTTTCTTTGATGTTATCTCTTAGCAATATTTTCAGTGAAATGTAGAACCGTGGTGACGTAGTGCTTTCATGTTGGGCTGCTAACTGCAAGGGCAGCAGTTCAAAACCACCAGCTGCTCCACAGGAGAAAGATGAGGCTTTCTACTCCTATGAAGAATTAGAGTTTTGAAAACCCACCAGGAAGTTTGAACTTGCCCTATAGGGTCGCTGTGAGTTGGAATCAACTCAACGACAGTGAGTTTGGTTTGGAGAGATTGGTTTTTAAACGTTAGCTTTCCCTCCTCCCAGCCCTTCTTTAAAATTAGAAAAATATAAATATTAGAGCATAATTTCTAACACATGGGTAAGAAACTATCCTGATACCATTTCCTTTCCTTTCTCCCCAGAGGTAGGCAGGCTCCTCCCTTTGATGCCTTCATTTCTATGTTGGCGTGTGCATGTGTATGTGTGTACATACACGTGTGCTGTTATTTCATATGTACAGACTAGTGAATATCAAATAGCACTGTCTTACATAGTTGCAGTCTTTATATGAATGATGTCCCTTCCCCTCTCTCCATTTAACACTAAGATTTTGAAACTCATCAATGTTGATACATTTAACACTCATTTTAAATACTACATAGTATTTAATCACCAATAATTTATCCATTCTTGTGGATTTGGGTTATAGACTAATACCATATACTTTCCTATTGTCACCTGTGCTGCCCTGAACACTTTGCTGCGTGTGCCTGCTCATGGGTGAGGAGTTCTCTAGGCACACACAGAGACACGGAGTTGGCAGGAGGCCACGTGTGCTTTCCCAGTGCTTTGCACGGAGACAGGGACTTGGCAGTGATTGTAGCCGTGTGTGAGAATCCCTTGTGCTCCACATTCTCACCTTTACTTGTTAGTGTGAAATGTTCTCACGTTTGCTGATCCAATGGTTATAAACTGTATCTTAGAGGAATGAAGAAATAAAAATGTCAGGGTATGTCCAGGGGTTGGGCTAAGAACAATGTTTTACAGAATTATAATATTGTAAACATTAAACACCACTCAAATCAGAAGTATGGATAAATGTATTTAGAGCATGAGTGGAGAAGGAGTGTGTGTTTTGTGGGGAGGGGGACGGAGTGCAGGGGATTTTGTAAAAGGAATGAAATCTAGTCTTATCTAATAAGTCAATTGGATATGGCCTAAAATTGAGAAGAAAAAAAAACCCCAGAAAATTGTAGGATATGCTATTTTAAAAATCTGATAGTAAATTCCGGAAACCGAAGAGCAGCAGGAGGTGAGATGGCAGGTTACCGATGGGGGTGGTGGAGGGGAGAGTCCTGCTCGTTCTTCTTGTCAGCCTGGCGGTGCCATTTGACTTCGTGTGACTTTGGTTCTCTGCCCAAACAGGAGCAATGGGGTTGCCCAGCATTGCAGCCCCCAGCAGCCTGGGACCCTCCAGCCCTCCTCGACTGCGGCACACTCGCACCGGGAGAATGGGAAGCATCGGCTCCCTCACAGAGGAGCTTGGGGTGCCTGCCACTCCCCGTTGCCAGTGGACACCAAGAGCAGTGGCTTGCCAGTGTCTCCAGGAGCTCCGTGGTCCACCATGAGGTGCTGGGCGGGGTACCTTGTCACCATCACCTAGTGCAGTGTGTGCTGACTGGGAAGCGGTCCTTGGGCTAAGCTCTTTGTCATTTCATAGCCTTTGTCCCTCCCTCCCTCCCTCCTTCCCTCCTTCTCTCCTTCCCTCCCTCCCTCCCTCCCTCCTTGTCCTGTATTGGATAAGAAAAGGACGGCGCTTGGAAACAAGCAGAAGCCCTCTTTATCTGCTGGCATTTGGAAGCAAGGGTGTGTGTATTCTCGATTAAGAAAAGCAGCCCACTGGGGAAAGAGCCCCGGGTCTCAGAGAACAGGTGCAATCCGTTTCCAGTGGGTGGGGAGCTGTCTTGGTCGTCCCTCTGTTCCCTCTCTCCGCTCTTCATGTTTGATTTGAATTTCTTGCCGCCTCACTTTGGGAGAAAGCTCAGGGAACTCTTCCTCTCAAAATTGGCTTTGAGGATGCAAAACAGTCTTTAGGTATGGGGGTTTCTGAAGCCCTTGTAGCCGGGGTTTTTGTTTTGTTGTTTTTAAATACTGAGACTCAACCATGAAGATGAACACAGCGTCATCAGCACAGGAAGCCACTCCGTACGTTGCGTGGCTTCTCAAATAGCTCAAGCCATGTGTAAGTCAGCAGGTTAAAAAGATGGACATTCATAAGATCATGTCAGATAGCCTTTGAATCCTCCTATGTAGTCTCTTATCATTCTTTCTTTTGGAAGTCTTTGTTTCCACTCATCCCCTCCTTTGCCTTATTCATCCATCCATTCATCAACAGGTATTTTTTGAGCCCTGGTGGCTCAGTGGTTAAGTGCCCAGCTGCTAATTGGAAGGTTGGAAGTTCTAACTCACCAAGCACTTCGTGAATGTTGGGCAGTTTACACCATGGGGGGCAGTTCTGTAGGGTTTTTTGAGTCAGAATCAGCTTAATAATGATCAGTTTACCATATTGCAGATATGTTCTAGATCCCAGGAATGTCCTGGTGATTAAGGAAGACAAGGTTCTTGTGGGGTACCAGCCCCCACAATTGAATGGGTCCAAGGGGCGGTTGTGTAATTGAGGGGTAAAATTAAAGAGACATTGTTAGATCTCTCTGGAGCTAGATATACCTCGGTCCTTGGCTCCATGAATTCTTCGGCAAGAATTCATGCCGAAGCCTGGTTTGGGATCCAAGTGAGTTGGTGAGTTGGGATCCAAGTGACAAGGTGGCCCTACCCCGCAGGTCTCTGCGACTGTACCTATAGGAGTGGAAAGCCCCATCTTTCTTCATAGAAGATAGGCCATCTATAATGGACCAATGAATGAGCAATTTAAATGCTTGGTGGCAGTAAAACAGGATGTGCTGATGTGATAGAAAAGGGTAGGTTGGGCTGGGGAATTCAGTTGGCAGATTGGGGAAAGTCTCCCTGAGTAAGTGAGATCTGGATTGAGACACTTGCATGCAGGAAGGATCCAGCCTTGAAAGGATCTGTCAGAGGGCCCAGCGTTGAGACTAATGAGCAAGTAGGGAGTAGAAGGAAATGAGGTTAGTGGAATGGGCCGGACCCAGGGAGTGGAGGGCCATGTTAGTTAAAAAGAAATGTTTGGATTTTATTGAGTGGAACAGGAAGACTTTGAAGGTTTTTTGTTTTGTTTTTTTAAGTATAGAAGAGATCACATCACATTTCTTTTTAAGAATATTCACTCTGGCTCCTATCATGTTAAGCAAATGGCCAGAGTGAAACAGGGAGGGGGGCCAGGGGGTTGTTTAATACATTGAGAAAAGAAAGGTGGTGGTAACCACTGAGTTTAAGAGTTGTGGATGGATTTGGGGTATGTTTTAGAGAGAGATTATTATTATTAGTTCAGCACCATTATGCCTGTGTGGGTGTCTTAATTCCAGGATGCATTATGAAATGATACATCTGTTGGGAATGAGTTTGTCCCAGTTTTTTTTCCAACTTTGAGTTTAGCACGTTTGTAATGCACGTACTGATATGAGGCCAGCAAATAGCTGGCTAAGCACTATCAGGTAAAGTATGGCTTTCAGTCATTACGGAGCACAGAGAAATCTTCTCCTATTGCGATTCATTTATTCATTTGTTTTGGTATGTGAATTGGTGATTGGCTTATGGGTGAAAAGTACATTGAAAAACCTTCTGTTTCCTTAGGGGCCTTTAAGCTGGCTCCAACTCTTAGCAACCCTATTATGTGCAATGGAACAAAAATACTTCCCAGCCCTGTGGCATCCTCACAACTGTAGTTCTATTTGGACCTAGTATTATAGTCACTGTCCATCCACGTAGTTTAGATCATCCTCGGTTTCCCTTCCGTTCTACTTTACCAAGCATGATGTCCTTTTCCAGGGACTGGTCTTTCCTTATTACACGTCCAAGGTATATGAGACGAAGTCTTAACCTCTTTGCTTCTAAGGAGCATTCTGGTTGTGCTTCTTTCAAATTTCTTAGGTCTTCCAGCAGGTCATGGAACATTCAATTTTCTGTGCCAACACCATAATTCAAATAAATCCCATTCTTCCGTGGTCTCCCTGGCTCATTTTCCAAACTTCACATGCATTTGAGGTGATGGAAACTATCATGGCTTGGGTCAGGCACACTTTAGCCTTCAAAGAGGTTTGTGCAATTGTGTTAGTATGGGTACTTGAGAGAAACAAATCCACAGAAACTCATGTATAAGAGAGAGTTTTATATAAAGGTTAAGTGTGCGTCAAGAAAACATCCCAACCCAGTGCCGCCCAAGCCCCCAAGCCCACAAGTCCAATATTAACCCATATGTCCAACACCAATCCACAAAGTCCTCCTCCATCTCACAAAACACACGCAATGATGCCGACTGCAGGAGGAAAGCCGAGTCAGTGAAAGTGTAAGCATCTCAGCACTGGCGGGGGTCTCCATGTGGCTGCTCTAGCACCCAGGGCTGCATCAGGGTAGGTCCATGCGGTGTCACCTGGGGGATGTCTTGCAGGAAGTGATCCTTTCCAGCTGAAGGAGGGAACTGGCTAAGACAGCTTCACCCTGGTCTGACCATCAGAAAGCAAGAGCCCTGAGAACTAGAAAGGCGAGGCTCACCAAGCCATTTATCTCTCCACCCTTCAATTAACCTCATGTGTGTTTATTGTCTAGGTTGGCACAATAAGCTTTAACTAACTCAGCAATATTCTTCATAAAGCCAGCTTCTCTGATTATTTGCTTAGGATGCAAACTGAATAAGTATGGTGAAAGGATACAATACTGATGCACACTTTTCCTGATTTTAAACCTTGCAGGATTGATTCCTTGTTCTCTTCAAATCACAGCCTCTTGGTCTATGTACAAGTTCCACATGAGTATAACTAAGTGTTTTGGAGTTCCCATTCTTTGCAACATTATCTGGAACTTGTTATTCACCAGCCTGATGCCTTTACACAGTTAATAAGACATGAACAACTCTCTGATACTCCCTGCTTTCAACCTATATCCATCTGATTTCAGCAATGATAACCCTCATTCCACATACTCTTCTGAATCTGCCATGAAATTCTAAAAGCTCCCGATTGATATATTTTGTAGTATTAAATTAAATTTGATGGGGGGGAGGCGAGTGAGGGGCCAGCCTCCACCCGCTGCTACTAATACTACCCACGGGTTCAGTAAGCACAATTGTATGGTTGAGATATATAAGCATTATATTAAAGTCATCGAGAGCATGAGAGATAATACAGTAATACAGTCAGACATATTACATGGTAGCATTGCTCACCTCTGCCCCGCTTGGTGGTCCTCATGGGGGGGAACACGGCCGCCAGAGTAGAAGTAGCTGCCTCCCTCACGGGAGCAGCCGCCCTCGTCCTCCTCCCTCTGTCGCCTCCCTCGAACCAGGGAACCTCCTTATTTATTGCTAACCACGCATTATATAATTTTAGGGGGACATCATTATAGAATCACACGTCACAGAAAGGGGCAATACAATTCACAACAACCTACGTCATGGGGAGGGGTTGTAACATAGGCAATACAAGCAATAGCAAGGGGATGACCTACGGGTGAACGCGCAATAGTAAAGGGAGGGAATAGGGGAGCATGTGTGGCAACATGGGTGGACCCTGGACTCGATAAGCTTAGTCATCTTAGAGTGGTCCCAGGCTTGCCTTTGGGCACTGCTTCAAGGTAACGATAGCAGACGGGATTGGGCCCTACTTAGGGTGAGTCAGACTATACAGTCTGGCCGCTCTAGATGGCTGATGTTCAGGAGAATAACCTCTGACCTGCTTTCGCTGACCGCCTAGTGTACAGTCATTCTCAAGCAGCTAAGTCTGGTACATATTTTTGGGGGAGACAGCTTGAGAGAAATCCTTCTGTTCCCCACATATTTTAGCAACTACTTTTTAATTATCTTCAGTAAATTTTACTTGCATACCATATTAGTGATATTATTTGGTAATTTCTACATTTTTTATGACCTTTTTCGAAATGATCACAAATATGAGTTTCTTCTAGTTGATTGGCCAGGTAGTGGTCTTCCAAATTTCTTGGCATAGACTTGTGAATACTACCTGTGCTTCATCAGTGTGTTGGTTTGGGTGGACTAGAGAAACATCCAGGGAGACTCGTGTATAAGAAAGAGCTTTATATATCAGAGAAATTGAATATTGAGAAAACATTCCAGCCCAGTCCAGATCAAGTCCATAAGCCCGATATTAGCCCATATGTCCAAAACCAATCTATAAAGTCCTCTTTTAGATTCATGAAATACCTACAATGATGCGGAATGCAGGGAGATCACAGGGCAGTAGGTGAAAGTCTTGTGGATCCAGTGGCAGCGTAATCATCCCAGCGTTGGCGTAGGTCTCCATGTGGCTCCTCCAGCTCAGGGACTCATGCTGCATCAGCGTAGCTCCATCAGGCTCGTTGTCAATAAAGTCTCCCAGGGAGTGAGCATGTGCCCTGCCTCTAGGGAGCTATTTATCTCCCTAGGGCCTCCAAATGAGGTCATGAAGCTGCAACCTGATTGACAGGCTAAACTCCACCCCTTC